AACTAAAACGAGGCGGGCACCACTTCTAAGGTTCTAAGATAATCGCAGGAAGACCCCTAAGGCTAGATCCTAACTCCTACGAGGAATACTAGACCTCACGAAAATTGAGGTCAACAGTGTCGTGTTGTAACTCTAATTCAATATTAATAAAATTTGCTTTTGTTTTTGTTGATTTTCTAACTTGTTCCGGTATCAGTACATCTATGGAAGCTCCATGTAATAATATGCCTTCTTCATAAAGAAGCAAATGGGTGTACTTGCACAAGAAATATGTTCCAACCAACAAAAAAGAAAGAAAATTTACATACATACCACACAATTATTATGCATTTATATATCTAACGCCCAAAATTTCCTATTTACATCTATAAAATTTGTGTGTGAAAAACCCATCATGAAAAGGTGTATTTCACTTTTAAAAAATAAGTAATAGTGGTATTTTTTATGTGATATTAAAGATTTGAGTACTATGCATATAAATATTAAGTGTTAGATATGTAAATACATAATAATTTTGTGGTATGTATGTAAACGCCCCATTTGCCCCAAAAAATAAAGCAATTTTGCCTTCAACAATATAATCTAATGAAATGCAACCAAATAATGGATTTAGCAAATTTTGTTAATTTCAGACACAAGTTCCAACTTAAACAATCAAATGATACCTAAGCAAATAAAAATTTTACTGATAACAAATACAAGAAGACATACCTCGGGAATTTTTATATTGCAGGGCGAAAGCAGATCTGAAGCATTCCGTATAACATCTAGAAAAGAACCATCCGGAGTCTACTGCATAAAAAAAAAAAACATTACCGAACAATTTAATCACCAAGTAGAATAAATAAGCGTAATTATAAATAAAACAGAACAAGTAAATAATTTTCTTTAAAGCAGTGAAACGTGAACTGTTTAAGTCAAGAAAAAATATTTTACAAAAAATATTTTTATATTAAATAACTAAGAATAGGGGTATCATTTTAAGGGTTCATTTGGAGTTAACTATAGCTTATTCTTGTAGTTGTATTTACAAAACTTTTGTGGGGATATTGAATTATTCTAAAGCTGATATGAATATTATAAAGAATAGCTTTCTCAAAGACAACCAGACCAGAACTTTCTTCCAGTTACTACACTAGCATATTTAGTTTTAAAAAGTAATTATTGATCATAAAAATTCTTCAAAAACAGCAAAAAAAAAAAAAGTCAAATGGAATTATTATAGCAATATGAAAAGCAATATAGTGAGAAAATTGCTCTGAACACACCCTAGACATGAAGGCGCTGTTTGGTTCGGCTTCTGCTGCGCGGCGCGGCGTGCGACCGCGGCCTTGTCCCCGCTTC